GTTTCAGAATACACTGAGGGACACTCTTCTCAAAAAGGGTCTAAAAACATCCACTACTTGGGCTTTCCCTTAAAACAAACTCCTCAGCACATCTCGAGTTACCCTTTGGGTCTGGCACTGTAGACAGTTAAAATCAATCTCTAGCACAAACTGTCCTAATGATTAACTCCGCTGGCAATAACTATAGAAGGTATACTGGGTGAAAGTACTGAGTAAAAACTATATACGTATTCATACGTCAACTAAATTGCCAGTATATCATAACTCTTAAGTAAATAAGCAGATTCAACCAAGACTGAGGTTTGATCTTGACATCCAAGGACGTAATGGATCAATATAAGGCAACCAGGGATTAACAAAGCTTCTGCATCACTGCATGGCAAATTAGTTAAGATCAACCTAAAATCAATATGTAATGAGCTGTCTTCTAACTTTTTCCAGTACATTTTACTCCTGTCTCCTTCGATCCACATATCCCAGGGTTCATGAAACATTTAGCATCATGACTTATAGATCAGAGATGCTCAAAGAGAATGGACTCCGAACCTCTATCCCTTGAAGAGAAAAATACAATGTGATTTACACCTGATGGTCAAAGATCCTACAATGTACCAATGTGCCTTATTGGTCAAAGGCATGAAAAATTTGTAACGTGTAGTTACATTTGCCTGATGACACAGAATCCACGCAAGAAGTACCTAAAGTAATAGCAAGTAGTAAAGCTGCACTGTTACCAAGGTCTGAAACGTGACTACCCTCATGTGCCTTTGTTTAACAACTCTGGGAACTAAAGCCACACTGGTCCTCCTTAATCCCTGGCCTTCTCTCTGCGCAACCATGGCTGGAAGCATATCAACCATGTCAGCCACTCTCGTTCTCTTTCTCTCTCTCTTTCCTCTTCCAAAGACATGCAAAGATAAGCACAGACACACAGTGGTTTATTGGGCCAACAGGCCTGTCTCTGGGAAGCCACAGTGCAGAAATACAAAGCACAATGACGGGAGACAATGTGATTCTGTCTCCATGCTCAGTGGGAGAAATGACCCGAATAGTCTGCCTTTGGTTACGAATGAAATTATCCGACCACCTAGGCTGTGGGGCTGTGGGGCCTGGTAACACAGAGCAAAACTGAGCCATTTAAAAGTAACTCAAATACTAGTTTTCATTGTCATTTAGCAAATTGTCCTGTACAGTTGTTTTGGTGAGCTGGAGAACTAACCTCTGAAATGCTCTACTCTTGTGAGCCTAACAGCAATGTGTAAAGCATCAAGGTCTTTTCCAAAATTCCTCACTGAGGCAAGACTTGGGCTCTCAGAGCTCTAAGAGCCTACTTATTCGAGATGAATGGTAGGAAACAGTTATGAGAGGATGTTAATACAAAGGTACATGTAATTTTAAGGCTTAAACATATAGAAACATGCTCAAACATGCTCCAGTCTTATTGGTGCATATAAATCACAGGGAAATGGTCCTATTGTCACACTCTTGGGGCGGCAGTAGCTCAGTGTGTAGGGACTTGGCTTGGGGACCGGAGGGTCACAGTTCAAGTCCCACAGACCACAAAATATGGAGTGTGGACTGGTAGCTGGAGAGGTGCCAGTTTTATCTCCTGTGCACTGCCGAGGTGCCCTAACCCGAAAACCTGCGCATGAGGCGCATTATGTCCATAAGTGTGTGAAGTGTGTATTTCAGCCTGTGTGTGCGTGTGTATAAAAAAGAGAGAAAAAGAACAATTTCCCCCTAGGGGATCAATAAAGTATATCTTCTTCTCTATGTATTCATACATTCACAAAGTGACAGACAAGAACATGCATTCTGAATTTTTGTGTAATATCTGATATCAGAGCTTATAAATTGAGGGATATTGGGGAGAAAGCACATAACATATATCAGCTATTAAAAACAAAAAAAAGGAGTATCTGATCAGAACACACATATCTGTAAGGGACCTACATTACAGGATATTTGATCCAGGCAGCCCTGGGTGCGAGAGCAATTTAATCAAACATGTATAAAGATGGCATGTATATCACAATGCTGATCCTTAACGAGCAATAATCATCCTTGGCTGTAGGGGGAAATAACTGATGCAAAGCTAATTCATCTTTCCGACGTCTTACCTCAATTTATTCATATCAATGTTCCCCCGGTGCATGGCCGAGCAGACCAGCTGAACAGCTTCAATATATCTTCAGGCTGCACACCACAATACCATAAACGTGCCTTGTTTGGAACTGCATTGTAACATTCCACTGTCTGTGGGGGATTGTGTAGCTAAATCTCATATTAGACTACAGCCCTGATTTATCTCATGTAGCTTTGAGGGCCAGTTCAAGCCTCCAGGGCGAAGAGTCCAGTCGAGTGCAATGCCAAATAATCTGCAAAGTGTGTTAGCATCGTATAAAGAGGGGTCTTCACTAGATTTGATATCTCATTATCACTATGGGACAGATGCTGCACCTACATTGGAACTGTTTTGAACCAAATCATATGAAAGAACAATAAGACCAAAATATCAATCAAAAGCATACAGACATAAAGTTCTAAAAGAATGGGAATGAGAAGCATTTGCTGAAATGAAAATTTGGAATTTTTGGAGACTGTGCAATCGGATATTTGGATAATTTCCAAAATTGAATATAGACTGTGAATGTGTTCTTAGTCTTGAATTTGATTTGGGCCAGCTGATAAGTAATCATACAGTGTACAGGATCACTTATCAGCTGGCCCAAATCAAATTCAAGTTCAACGTGTAAAACAGAAGCTACAAAATATCTTCAACTTGTTATACAATATCACAGCCATAGTCTGGTGTTAATACTTAATTTGGCTGTTCTGCAAGGCTCACTTTATATTCCATTAAGAGGTTTTATAATCAGTAATTTTGGAAAATGATGTGGAAAAATTATCAAAATTAATGCATCTGTTGTGGTGTTTGCATGACAGCATGCAAAACAAGTTTTACTGTGCAGTGATTGGGAGATTCTGCATGACAGTTCTGTAGCAGTAGTTCTGTTACTGCATGGTGAAGAGTGTGCAGGAAGTTAACTGCATTCACACACAATCAGATTTTTTCCAACACTCCTAGCTGCAATTATGTGAAGTAAGAAAAATATTTAGACTCTTCAGTGAACATTTGGAGCACACCTACTGTGGAAATTCTACTCTATTCATACATATTTTATTTGCCTTATTATTTTCAGCACAGACTGTGGGGGAGGGAATTCTTCCTATCTAATTTTCTGCCATAACTTCAAATGTCAATATTGTGATTATCATTTTAATAGGTATTGCCCAGCCAAGACCAAAATAGACTGAGAAATGTATTAGACCTTTATCCGTGTCTGGGCTAAATGTTACATTAAATGCAAACTATTAGGACAGAATACCTAATTTAGATATAATATTATTCATTTGTAAGTAGAATTTCAACCAATAGCAATGTGCTGTCAGAAGACAATACCGGTTGGTCATATCTATGTTCTATTCTTACTCTATATACTGGCATAGGCACTAATGCAACACACACACACACACACACACACACACACACACACACACACACACACACACACACACACATAGTCTAGCTGACATTTTTTATTATCCTGGTCAGGCTGTGAGCTAATAAAAGTCTGAAACACAATTTGTTTATTCAAAACTGACAACACATAAGCAATACTGAGGAAAACAAACTACAGTAATATTCTGGGAGAAAATTTCTGACATCAATCATGTGTACATGCTCCTCTGCTCCAATAGAGCCAACTAAGGTGGGGTTTGGCAGCCCACATTAAATGTCCAAACCTAATATAATGATATTTACTCTTCACTCTCTTCGTCAATGACAAAAAACACATTCATATACAAATACACACTAACTAGGTGTGTATATCCTGTTTTCAGTAGCAAGGGGAAAACATTTAAAAGTTGACCTAAGTCTGAGAGGTCAGGTCTTGTTTTTGTTTACACAGATAACAAATGCCTTTTGGGGCATTCCTTTAAAATGCAGCAACAGGCATTTTTCACAGCAGGCATAGTGACGAATCACAATAGGAAAAGCACATGTGTTAGGCTAGTAATAACACAATGGTTCTGTCCTTTCAAGTGTCCCAGCAAGCCATGACAGCATGACTGTGAGCCAGCATGCACAGTACCAGGATCCTGAAACCAAAGCATGCCAAGTAGCATTCAGTGCTTTCCCCTAATGTCAGATATCAAAATGTCTTCCATCAACAAGACATAGAGTACCAGGAACATATGAAGAGCTCTTTTTTTTTTTTTTGCTACACCCAATGCACCTGTAGTACCAGTCAGGCACCTGTCGATGCACTCAACATACTGTAGATGTGAGGAAGGTTTAGCTCAAACTACGGTATGTTGACAGAAAAGTGTCATCTCTAAATAATGCATTTAGAGTTATAGATTATACTCCATAAAGGATCATACAAACATGGTAGTTTAAAGGCACTATTAATAATGTATCTCTTTACATTTAGGTGGATTGCATATAATTACATAAATGTGTACAGTGGGGATACATATAAGAATCCTCAGGAGGATTTCCAACTCAACTTTTCATATAGCATGTGCAGACAGTAATTTTAAGGGGGGGTGAAATGCCTTTTCTCCATTACGTACATAAGTAGTTCCTTACCTTATTCCTTACTATTTATTACACACGTGGTTCACATTAAAGTAATTATTCACTGCAGGCCATCACTGAAATAGTTGCTCAGCACATTGTAATAGGCCCAGATAGAAAGTCACTGATTGGAATACCAGCTCTAAACTACAGCTGCATGTAACATGTGTCCTCCTGTGTATAAGCTGCTGTACTAGTGTCCACCACCGGGCCCCAGCTGCCATGGCGGGGCTGGAGAACAGATTGACTTGTCAACACTGCCCTGTCAACAACCTCTCGGTCATAACTTAACCTGGAGGACACTATAACCCCATCTCGGTGAAATACACAGTAGATGGATACGGCCTGAGGGGGGGTCTGTAGCAAAAACATTCTCACTCAGAAGTGAAGGAAGACACGCACCCAAGTGCAATGCATTCGCCAGGCACGAAAAACTCGAGAAACTGCTGCTATAACTCCCCATTTCCAGACAAATAATAATAATACCCGCTCAGTCGATGGGAATGAGAAGTCGGATAACTTCTCATAGAGGTTTCTCCAATACATTCCCGCAAACTCGTCGAAGGAGGTGGGGGAAAAAAACCCTCTCGAGAGTTAGAGCTGTATCACACAGCGAACACTTCAAAAGATTTTACATGCTCCCCCCTCCTCCCTCCCTCTCCTCTAACCCACCCGTACACTGGAGCGTGTCGGCGCCGTGACAATAACATTAGTTTCCGTGTGCTTTTAAAAAAAAAACTTACCAACAGTTCTCGAGCCTGACCCCGAACCAAGCAGAAGGTACCAGATCCACATCATACGGTCTCCTCTCCTCTCCCCCTCCCTCCCTGCCGGCCTGTCCTTGCTGTCCTGCCCCGCCGCGGGGCCAAAAACTGGGGGCAAAGAAGGAAAACTTCTCCGGTACAGCTTCTCCTTGCCTATTGTGTTTTTTAATGGGTCTTTTTTTTTTCTCCAGGAAAAGCTAGCAGTACGTGAAGAGCGGTGGGTTCGCGCAGGGAGTCCGGTTCGAGTTTCTGGGAGTACGGGCTGGAGTTGGAAGGGGGCTTCGGGGTGGCGGCAGGCTGGCTGGGGAGTCGGTCGCTCGTGTGTTGGTGCTGAGAGAGGCGGAGTCGGAGGAGGCAGAGAGCCGGAGAGCAGAGGTCGGCCAGTCCGGGACAGCGGTTCCCAAACTGCGGGCTAGGGACCGCTAACGGTCTCCGAGAGCTAAACCGGGAACAGTTTGATTGTACCGTTACCTCTCAGCAAAATTAGCTAGCAGCTGTGAGCTCACCTAACGACATGTACTTATTCAACAGAGATGGCACAAATGGTCCAAACAGAAAATAAATTAGGGAGTAGTTAGCAGGACAGAACAGCTACAAAATGAGGGTCAGTATGGTTTCCCTTGACATGAAAAAGATATTATGGAGGCCCAAGCGAGGACTATTAGATTAATTAATTTCCCATTGATTTCCCCAGAACTACTTAACCCTTGTGTGGTGTTCGGGTCTGTGGGACCCGTTTTCATTTTTTATTAAAAGAAAAATGATACAATTAATTAATTTTTCAAACTGAGACTCACTGACTTTGGCTCATTTTCTGTGAAGAACATATCAGAATACATATTTAATGACCACACACCATACACCCCCCCTACACATTTCTATTACATATAAGATGTCCGGGTCCACTGGACCCGGGGCTAATAGAAGTGTGGAAATTGATGTTCTGTGTACCACACGCACCCACCCACACACACACACACACACACACACACACACACACAGCAGGCCTAGACAGGAGGAGGACAGAGTGTAGGTACACAGAACATCAGAGGGTCAAATGTGCGAGAAAATGAGAGCAGACAGTGTTGACAAACAATGTTGCAATGTGACCTAACAAAGGTAAAGGGCAAATATTAACCATATTTATTGTTTATACTGCTTGTAATTGGGATAAGGTAAACATCTGTTCAGTATTTTAACATAAAAGTGTTTGATTGTGAGGCATTAAAAGCCACAAAATGCAACGGGTCCATCAGACCCACAAACGCTGGCTGAGTAACAACAATATGAACATTACACAAGGGTTAATGTAAGACTGCATGGGATTATTTTGGTTCAAAACCTAAAACACTCTTATAAAAAATGTGAAATATAGACCTTCATAGGCAACAGATAACAGCATTAAGAAAATATATAATCTGAGATTAATCTCATTGTGAATCCCATTATGAGGATGGCCTATTATGAAAACCATACATGACCATGGCTGTTGTGTAAAGCAGGCCCACAAAATGTCACTATAAAGTGTGGTAGCCTATTACACAAACACTCCTTAAAGGTCCAGTGTATATAACATTGATGATCTATTGGCAGAAATGGAATAAATATTCATAGGTAGGATGTATTTGTACATAAGCATTGTTGTGTTTTTGTTACCTTAGAATGAGACATTTTAATCTACAGATGCTGCAGGTCATCTTCCGTGCCACTAAATCCCACACACTGATCTTTAAAGAAATACGCAAACCGTACCTAAACTATATCTGATAATGGAACACTATATATGTGGTATTACATTTTACACATGCTGCACCTCATATGTTAGCAATGTCATATCAAATTAAATGAATGTGTCTCAGTCATGACTTCATGTTGGCAGTCTTGCACACAGTGTTATAACAAGAGCCGAGGTGGAAGCCAGCAGAGTTGGTGGTGTTCAGTGGCGAGGTAGTGAGGCGATCAACATGAATTTATACATCAATACAAGCAGAAGTCTTCAAAGGACAGGGAGGCGCTGGAACTTTGTGTCCCTCAGTTCAGCCTCCCAGAAAGTTCCTGCAGATCCTCTTCAGTCAGCTTCAATCTTTTGGCTGTGTTTGCTATTCAGGCATGCAAATTGCTGACACATTGAATCCACTGTGACAAATTCTTTTCAAAACAAAGCAATGTAAGGGCAGTCCTGTGTAGGGTCTACCTGAAAAGCTGTGAGCCGAGGCTGGCAAGCATAGAAAAGCATGCCATGCTAAACTGTTTAAAAGAGCACTGCATGCACCAAAACCCACATTCTGAACTAATTTATGTCAAATCACCTCCTTTTAGAGACAGTAATTTAGGCAATAGATAGAAGACCACTAAAAGCTAATTTCTGTTTCTGTTTCATGCCAGTAATTTCATTTAATCATCATTATATTTTAATTAGATCCCTCATTTAGTGTTTTAGCCATAAGATAAGCCATCATGCGACTTGCCAGCTGTGTGCCAAATTATACATGCAGACAGTTCACCAGAGTGTCTCACCAAACAAAATCCGCCAGGCTGATATTGCTCGCTTACTGTTTCTGGAATGTAAATATTTTGAAACTGAAAAAAATAGATAGGGAGCCAACAGATGGCACAAGGGAAAACTTTTTAGAGCAGTTTCTTTAACAGATGGTTTGCCTTGATGAAAGTTAAAAGAGGCAAATACTTAGAAAACCAAAGCATGATAGAAGTTTTGGTGTGGGTACAGAAAGTGGGAAAGAGACACACAGAAAGAGATTTCTTCTTTTCAGTTTTTCTGGTGTCCCTATACAAACACAGCTCTAGTAACTTCCACACAGTCAGGACTTTGATATTTAACAACCCAGATAGAGCACGGTCCAGGCATACATACAGAAATACAAGACAGGGAGTGAGGAAGAAAATGTCCTCATGCTTAATATTGGTGTTTTCATGCCAATTTAAGTGGAATTGAATTAGAGAGAGACAGGAGGCTTCACCTACCAAACCTGTCTCCTCTTTATCATAGAACTGCAGCTGTGTGCGGACAGACAACCTCGCTTCAGACAAACCCCTCGTTTTGATAGCACACTAACCTGGAGGCATATGATTGGGAGAAGTACCAATATCAGACTCTTCCAGCTCACTTTATATTCATCCACACACTGCCTTATCAAGCCAAACCCTCATGCAGACTCAAACTCCAGGGGAGGGTCTTGGCATGTCAGTCGGATCTGTTAAAAATTTGTCAAAGATTCCAGCATGATAACTTCCGCAGGGGCCTGCTGTCCTCATCCTCCCCCATTGTTGCCTGTAGGGCCTTATGTATTTCAGTCTGTTATGATGAGTCCTGATATTAGATGGCTGTGTGTGTGCACTGCGTAACCGCTCTTGAAAAGTCTACAGTTGGCAGATATGAATATTTTAATGATCGCAGTTCGCCACAGCTAACAAAAGCAGACACAAGTCTCCTCAACAGCAATCCTGAATACAATCAACACTAATAAAACTAAATGCATGTTGAGGAGGAAGAAGATTTGTCAGTCAATGTTTAATGGATTTTATTCTGCTCCCCTGGAGTTATCATTAACGTTAATGCTGAGCTGTTTCACAAATTATACAGTCTGATCCATGAACCAGAACAGTATAATCTTCTGTTTCGGGGGGCTCTGCACTAGAGGTCTGCAAGCTAAAAGTAGAAATGGGCTCAACTACATTACTGATTGACACACAGAGTTTCAGTAATGCCCATCAATTAGTTTAGGCTATCTACAAACAGCCCAGACCTAATTAGCCGCTGGCCAACAAATGGACTCATTAGGGGACATTAAACTCTAATATGAAGGTTGTTATTGACTTAATCGCAGGAGAAACCCAATTAGTGGCCAAATTTGGAAAATGACTGTAAGGTAGTGAGATGAGCTGATTGGCAAAGGGGTGGGGGGGAGCGTGGCAACCTGGGATGACTTTGCCTGTGGGTGAGTGGTGGCACTGAGAGAAAGAGAGAGAGAAAGAGATTCAGCCAAAGATGTAGCAAGAGGTAAGGGAATGTATGATGGGAGCAACACAAAGGGAGTCTATGTGAGTGTGTGTATGTGTGGGTGTGGAGAGAGAGAACAACACCCACAGAGCAGTGGGAAGGGAGAAGGAGTAAGAAAGCCAGCGGCAAGAAAAGTATCAGGAGGTGGATGAGGATAGTGAGAGATAGAGAAGGAGAAACAGATGGTGTGAGAAAAAAAGAGGAAAGAATTAACAAAGGGATATTGTCATAGAAAGAGATAGCAAATGAGGAGAAATGTATTTGAACAAAACTTTCCTCAATACTTAAGGTATTACAGAATATTACAGAGTATTAGATGCAAGCTGTAGGGTATTATGCAAAGTAAATATATTGCAACTTTGCCAACAAGAGTCCACTGTCAGTGAGAGCAATGCTAATATATCACTTCATCTAACGAGAGTGTGAAGTGAGGGTGAGAGGGCAGTAATACTCAACTCACCAGAGCTTCAGGATGACATGTCCTTGTCATGTCAGACTGCCTTTCAGGTAGCTGTGAAATGCCAAGGCCCCTAAAGGACCGGCAATGGCAGTTACACTCTCTAGTGTGAGTCTCTCGACATTCATCTTATATTTAATAACCAGCGTACTAATACGAAGGACATCTTTGTTTGTGAGTGTGTGAGTCAGAAAGCAATAGAGAGAAGGAAAACAGGGGAGAGGACACATCAAGGGATAATGCGCTAATGATTTCAGCAAATGTTTCTGCTGGCCCATTAAGGAGCTGACTTTAGTGGCGAATATTCAGAGTTCCCTTAAGCAGGCTTATGCTACCAATCGCATGAAAACACATGTGCAACCATGCACAGTTATACATTCTTGCTTACTTGCAAAGTTCTGCCCACACTCATGTTCACTCAGGCTTAAATTAACTGAATAATCATTCAATTATGTGATCAATGCCTTGTTCCACTGGCAAAGCTCACATCTGGCCTGGTGCTGTTGCAGGGACATCAGATAAACATCCACAATTGAATCTGAGGAAGATATAAAGGGTAGTTTGTGTGTGTGTGTGTGTGTGTGTGTGTGTGTGTGTGTGTGTGTGTGTGTGTGCGCGCGTGTGCGCGTGCGCGTGCGCGTGCGCGTGCGACTGTCAATCTATGAGGCCCAGGCTGAGAATCAAATGAGGTACAGATATTGATTTGGGATTTCAGAGGCAGGGGCCAATAACAATTTGAGTGAGAAACGCTGAAGCATCAACAATTACTTCCTTAATTAAGCTAGAAAAAATTATGCTCAGTTTGCAATGGGTTACATAGCTAATTGCAAAAAACAAGGATGATAATAAATATGACATATATATCACTGGCCGAATGTTATTGCAATGGAAAAATACAGGCATGGCACTATCGGAAAATTAGATCAATCCCTGAGCTATTTGAGTCAATGTAAATAACGGGTGGCTTATGCTGCTGTGTATGTTAATTGAAAATGTTCATTAAAACCTACACGGTTAAAGTAATAGTGGAACCTGAATACAACACCTTATCAAAACACAATGCAATAAAAGTTGATCAATTAAATGTAATGATTTATGATTCTTTATCAGCAGAACATACACAGAAGACAGCACTGCACGCAGTAATTTAACCAGAAACCAGCCAGCAGTTGTTTCTGAAGGCTAAAGGTCCAAATGGTCTCAGGGCTGCAGTAGACTATTATCACATCTCCAAACAACAGGCAGTGGCATTTCTAAATAACAGCCTCAAACAAGGTTAAGTCCAACTGAGCAATGGGCAATCTTCTCTCACTTATACATGATTAGTAGACATCAGCTAACTGCAAGCACTCATCAAGGTTTCCTCCCTCTCTTTAGGCAAAATATAAACTAAAGTGTTACTTCTACAATCTTAGATGTCACTCTAAATGATGAAATTATTGTCAATTGAGTTTAAACGATGTATGATTAGAGGGAGCAGATACACAGGGGCTGTGTGTCAGACTGGGACTGTCCTCTGTGGGCTGTATGTAGGCACAGTGGTGCTTTGAGCTTAATGCAGCAGAGCACAGTTGAGGCTGATGGTAATGTCATTAGTTTTATAGGTATTAGGTCATAAACCATAGTAGCCTTTTGGACAAATTGAAATTCTGACTTGACCAAAACTCAGGGGAAGACCAAAGCTATTACAAATTATCATGTGGGCAATATAAATGTCTGTACCTCAGGCAACCCAACTATTGAGACATTTCACTCTGAACTAAAACTGTGAACTGCTGACTCTTGTTAGTCAGAGGACCACAAGTCTTTGGTGGTCCCCTGACTAGTGGAAAACCAAATTCTTAAGGATTCATCTCATGGGGACCATTAATGTCTGTACAAAATGTTTGGACCAAAGAGGTGAACCAGCTGTCCAACACTGCTCATCTTAGATTCCCACAGCTATGTGACAAACAATAGCAGTGTTGGTATGTTCAAAGACTATGGGGCCGATCACCCAGAGACGCATCGCTAGAAATACACTTTTCTAGTGGTTTTTAGATGTGCATAAAAGTTGTAATTATTTTCAAAGTTGCGCTGGTCGTTACTATGTTAATAGCCAATCAAATTAAGCAAGAGGCAAGATTTAATACTTTACCACGTCCTTCCTGTTTTGATGCC